TTGCCAGATAGAAAATAGAGAATTAAAAAACCTCCAAATTCAGGGAGCATGAAATGTCATTAAATCTAGCATAAAATTTCTTGAATCTGTCAGATAAAGGAAATCATGTATCCATAGAGAAGATGGAATATCAATTGACAGGAACCTATGAAGCTGGCACTTATTCTGAGAGACATATGAATCTAAAAATCCAATAGTGCCTCAGCCTTTGAAAACACAGAAGCCAGAAAGGTATTAGGGAAATCAATAAGGTAAAAATCTTCATCCTACTATTTGGAATGACTCCCACATAAGAATTAATTAATACAATACTTCTAGAACATTAAAAGGATGTTAAAATGTTATCTCTACCCATAGAAAACAAAGATATAAACCCACATGACTTCTAGAGAGAAGGTTGAAGAAAAAAGATTGGAAAGATTAAAGGCACATGGAAGAGGTCATTTCTGCCCTGTTGTCACACCATTTACCCTCTTCAGATAGAAGGATAAGTGTTGAACTTCAGTTCATCTGAATTCCTCAGCTCTATCATCAATGCTGTGACACATTCTAATTTTCTGATTCATTTGTGATGAATAAGCTCTCTCTTTTCTATTCACAGTGCTAAAAGTAACCAATTTTTTGTGAGTTATGATTACTTATTTTCCATTTTCATATTGCACGATTATTTTCCCCTTGCAAAGTTTCTCTCACTCTTTCTCCACCAGTGTGAATCCCGTGTACAAAAAAGCCCTTGGACAGTACTGCTGCCTAGGCTTCAGTCAGTCAAGAGGAATGAAAGACTGACAACCCGATTCCGTTTTTAACCCAGCCAGATACCTCAGCTGGCAAGTGGCTCAGCTTCCGCACCATAAAATGGGTATAATAATAGCTTTCCCTTACCACTGTGAAATATTTAGAATACAAATCAAGCCAAACCTGTCTCCTTCCAAAGGAGAAGCTTAAACTAGCCTACAAAATCCTGAATGAGCCCAGATTTCAAGGGGAAACATAAAATGGGAAATACCTAGATGTAGTATAATTTAGTGGTGAAAAATATGTAGACTTTGGAATGGTACAAACCTATTCAGATCCCAGCAGCTGTGGGATTTGGGGTAAGTTTCCTAATTTCTCAAATCTCCCTTGTTCTATAATAAATTGGAAGTTAACAGTATTTACTCTTCTAGTCAGGATGAAATGATCTACAGCTAATGCTGCTTTTCGAACTCTTCCACAGAGGTGATCCTCTGGTTACAGAGAGTGATCCAGCACTCAGGGTGCAAGCCATTGCCTGAAGCAGTCTGCCACAGATGAGACTTTTCAGGGAGCTCTCAGGGTTCATCCTACAAAAGACACGTTCTGCATTCCTCTTCCTCACTACGTTGTTATTTGTTTCATTGAGCTAGAAGTTCCACAAGGACAAGAACAGTGGCTGTTTTCTCTTCTCTAATATCCAAGTTATCAGATTAATAAACATATGTACAAATATCAGTTTAAATGACTTAGCCACAGGGACAACTGACCCTCCAAAAAGACAGTCATGTCTTTATTATTTATTCCATGACTTGGTGCGCTCCTCTTACATTGCTCCACGTCCCTGGACATGCCCACATTCAAATTTAAGAAGCATTTACTTAACAGGATGCCTGCAACTGCAGAAGGTGCTGAGTAAATAGTAACTGTTCTCATTTCTCTGCTCACTATTCCTTTACCTCACTGTTCCTAAGCTTCTGTGGACTCGTTTAAAAAGGAATTGTAAAGAACTAAGTAAGTCAGAGTCTGGTAGTCTGTGTGTCCCTAGCCACACACACACACCCATGTAGTGCTCTATTTTCTATACCTTTTGTTTTCTCCTGGCTTCAGCTTATAGCATCTTGCTCATCTCCCTAGAGGAGATAGCAGTGGGATTTCACAGGTGTTCTCTCACCTCTCCCCTAGGCCAAGGGTGACTTTAACTGGACTTCATGGATAACCTTTCTGGAGTCTGGAAGTTTCTTGAAACTTGGTGTTGGTAAGGAGTTTCTTTGGGGAGGGATTTTCATAGGGATCCATATCACCTCAAAATGTTAGAAACCATTGCCCTTGAACATTACATAAACTGAAATCAGAGTTGACTAATCTTTATTAATAATACATTTAATTAATAATACATTTAGTTCCTTAGAGATTGACACTATACAATAATTTCTACAGAGAAATCACAGGATGCAATTAGACTTCACCATAAACCACCCCCTTACCCCACTCTACTCTTACCTCACCCACCATGTTTTAGGCTCCTGATTCATTTGGACTTTATAGTTATATATTCTTTGCTAGGTAGTCTAGCATGCTTAATGAAAATGTTTTTCATCATATGCAAAACTACCATGGATAATTCTTTGCATTTCAGATGAAAACAATTTACAGACATAGAAGGTAAATATTACTTAGGCAGAAAGGGTGCATATCAATAAAATAACAATTTGAACTGAACAGGAATAAACCTATGTAGATTAATACATATTCTCAAAATTGCAGATTGTAATTCAATCAAGAAGTAGGGGCCTTCTGACGTTTATGAACATTTATAAATTGTATAAGAACTCTGAGATTAAATTTTTAGCCTTAATATTAAATTTGGAATAGGTATTACTGTTTTTCATTAATATATAAAGACAACAATTATATCCAATAACATCTTCAATTTAATTTGGCTTTAATTTGTCTTAGACTGTGACATATACACTGTGATTTTTCTCTCCATCTTGGATTCCTGTCATTGACAGCCTGTGTGTCACTGACATCCAGAAAAGATATTTCTTCTTCATTCCAGACCTTGGATATAATAGTCAATCTGGGTACAATTTACATTGATCTCTTTTGATCACATCAAAAGTTTAATTTTGACTGATTAACTTTTATGAATAAATGCTTCTTGAAATTTGAAAAGGAAAGTTATGTGCTTAGATATAAGAATATAAATGCTAAGTATAGTTTTTAAAAAGAATAATGTATTATTGAGAGCTATTGGGCTTATAACATGCAACAGAGAAATAAGTGGGCATATTTCATAAATAACCATGAATCATATTTTTCTCCCTTTTCCCAAAGGTTGGGGGGAAAGAGCAAGCTCAAAAAAGTTGGGAGAAAAGGAAAAAAGGGAAAAGGAGGGAGGAAGGAAGGAGATTTTAAAAATAGACTGGTGCAACGGTCTAGGATCTGGCTTATAAAAGGGACTAGAATGTAGCAAAACCTAGAATTTTAAAGTCTCTGAAGACTAATCAATCTTTATATATATTTTAAGTTTGTGTGTACTTCCAATGAATCATATATAATCTAATTATCTTGTTTAAAGTTTTCATTAAACTCATCAATTTTGTAAAATAATTTGAAAGCAGTGGAGACTCCCAGCCTCTCTTGTGTTAGCATGCATTATTATCCAGGCTGCAGATTTTCATCTTAACTCTTCTTGTTCAAGGACAGGAATACCATCCTTAACACTTACATGTGCATGGCCAGGGTCTCACATTAGCCATAAAGAGGAAACTTTTCCTTTGGAGGAAAGTCTGTGATAGTGCACTAGTCTAGAAAACTTGTTGAGAAGTGAAATCTCTCTGACTGGTTTGTTTGTTTCTTTGTGTTTGCTTTAGCCTTATTCTAGGCTAAGTTATATAATCAGATCCCTCTACTTGATCTTAGTATGATTTGTTTTGCATACTTCTGGAGGCCTTCTATGAAGTGGTTAAAATCTTGGTGTCTGAGAGGCAAGAATCCAATCAGCATATATTAAGTCCTTGATATGTTTGAGTGGGGTATGAGTAGAGAGACCTGCTTTGTTTTTTTAGTATCCCTGTTTGGTTTATTAATTTCTCATGGATCTTCAGTTTTATTTTACTCTAAGAGAAGTTGTCAAAACAGCGGTGAGCAGGCCAATCCCATTATAGCTCATTTGGCTTGTAAGTTGAAGATTACAAAGGAGAATTATCTGATTTGAAATAGAGAAGGAGAAACTATTAAGATCTACTCCCTGCAAACCTGAGGCTTTCATCATTAGTGATGCATTTGGGGAGACAGATGCTTTCATTTAAAATCATTTTGTCAGAGGGGACACTCCTAGGCTGGAGAGAAGAGGCAGAGGAGGTGGTGTATGGTTCTCAGTCAAGCCAACATGAGGCTGCATCACATCAAGTCTTCAGCTGAGGGGCGACGATGCATGTAGGTGTTAAATGTGTCCATAGGATCTTTGGGATGTTAAACATACTGAATTTACCCTTCAAAGAGCCAAAGCTTATCAGAGTTTTATCCATCTTTGTTGAAATTCGTTAAAGTTTTCCCTGTACTATACGCTAAAGCCTTTACCTATTCTAGTCAGTGCTGCCCAAATAGACATTTATGCAGTGATAGAAATGTTCTACCTGTAAGGCAACCACCAGCCACAGGTGGCTACTGAGCACTTGAAATGTGGCTAATGTGACTAGGAACTAAATATTTTTGGGTTTTTTTTTATTAAAATTTAACTAATTTATTTATTTTTTAAAGATTTTATTTACTTATTCATGAGAGACATAGAGAGAGGTAGAGAAATAGGCAGAGGGAGAAGCAGACTCCATGCAGGGAGCCCGATGTGGGACTCGATCCTGGGACTCCAGGATCATGCCCTGGGCCAAAGGCAGGTGCTAAACTGCTGAACCACCCAGGGATCCCCAAAATTTAACTAATTTAAATAGATAAGTATAGATGGGGGCTACTGTATTGAAAAGTATAACTCTAGAAAATACTCATACCATACAGATCAGAATGAAGTCGACAAAGAAAAAGGTTGTCTCTCTGTGTACTGGGAAGTACTATGTTGGTCATATAGCAGAACATCACACCTTTGGAAAATTTTTATGGAGCTGGATCTTTTCTCTTGGGCTACATGTAATAAAACACGCTCCTACTACTCATCCTTAGGAGCAACCAGTTGTCTATTACTTAGATTTCCTTGTAGTATCATTGGATTTATTTTTAATTCCTTGTTTTTGTTTTTGTTTTTCCAGTTCCTTGACCAGCAGTCTGTGACCTGCCCTTTCTCTTTATGTAAGTAAAATTGGTTTCTTTACTTTTCAAGAAAGTGTCATATTTGGGAAATTTGGATCTTTATTGGCATGTTTTCTAGTTGACTTTGTTGTGGTTTCCAGCACTTTTTTTTGCTATGCGTTAGCTTCATTTGGGTTTGGAATTGATGCTGTTGGTGGTGGTAGTAGTTGCCATCCATGAGGGGGCTGAAAAGACCAGGGCCTCAGGCATTGGACTTATATAAAGACTGCCTTTTACTAAGCCGCAGCTGCTGTTTGCAGAAGTCACTGCTTCTCTAAACTAGAGCTTACATTCTTCAGCCAGATATCAGCAACAGTTGGGCTTTTGCTCCACTGTCAATCAATGGGCAATTATGTATTCTTCAGTTATACACCCATCTCTAGGTCCAATAGTTAATTTCAACTTCTCGGTCAGAGCTTTCATTTATGGCCAAAATTTCCAATACTCTTTTACTTAAGAAGTACAAGCGTGAACTATAAAGCTTGATCCATTTGGGCTAAAATAGTGTCTGTAATCAAGAGTCCAGGATAGAAAAAAGAGAGAGAGAGAGAGAAATCTGGGATTACACGTGCCAAGAGGTTTGTAGAAGGTACCATCCTTTTTGAGAAAAGATGGGAAGTCATTTGAAAAGGGAGGAGAAAAAAAGAGAGAGGAAAAAACTTGATTTCTTGATTTCAGATGAAAAGAGGGAACATTTGTTCTTTAAAGCCCAAACCAGGCTGTACTGAATGGGTAGGATAAGCTTTACCTCGGGCTGTTTGTAAGAGATTCTGCAGCAATGAACCCAAATAATCCTAGTCACTCACTACATGAGACACTGCCCGAGACATGCTACAGGTAGGGGCAATCACCTTATGTGATAAATAATCATCAGCATCTTCCCAGCTGCTTCTAGCTCTCTGGTGAGTGCTGTCCCTTATTCACAACATCTGTCTTATTTCACTGACTTCTCACTCGGAGGTATTTCTTGTGTGGTAATCATTTGCTCAGAAAGGGGGTTCCCATGGCTCGCTTGTATGTGTGTGTGGCTTCCACGAACATTCCTGGAAGCTAGTTGCAAATATATTCCGGGGAGCACAATCCCCCAAAGGACGGACAGTAAGGCTAAAGTCCAAAGTGACAGCCATTTGACAGAGAAAGGAGATTGGTTAAACTCCCCAAAGACGACGGGTACTGTGTGTAATGCATTTATACAGCAGGGGTGGATCCTCCCTGCCCCTGACAAGTCGTGTTATTCCTTATCCTCTGTGTTGATAGAGCGGGTCTGTCAATGCTTGGGAGGGTGTCAACGTGCATGCTTGTGGTTACCACTTTATGTCTCTGCATCGCTACTTCAGTTACCTAGCACTGCATATTTCTAGTCCTCTGACTGGCAAATCATTTTTGTTACAGTTCTTTTGTGTAAAAACAGTTCACATAATAGCTCCGTGTTAGACAAGGCATTAATCCTCACATCACCGGGGATGAGTCAGCACAGTGCACTCCTGCCCGCACGGCTCAGCTATTATGACGTCAGCACTGTAGGGCAAGCCTCAGACACAAGCGGTACAGGGGACTGGGGACCTGTGTCACAGATTAGAAATCGAGGGGGAGACCTTTGAGATAAAAACGTAATTGAAAGGCTGTTTCTGGCTCATAGGAAAATGTGAAACTGATTCTATGCTACATCAACCATCAATCAGGCAGCTTCTAGAGAGATCCTAGTTTTTAACCAGAGATAGGGCTGAGAGGATGACCTGTAATGGGCTGACAGCCCATGCCTATACCCACGATCCTTGTCCCAGCCCCCCTCCCCGGGCCGGCTTCATGCTTGCTTGGGTTGTTCCAAATCCTGAGGCTGCTTTTGTTTCGAGGGTGACGGGGCCTGTGACAGTCCTGCTGTCCTCAAGTGCCCCACAGACACAGCTGATGGCTTCAGGGGTGGTGCCCCAGATACCTATCAAAGGGAAAAGAAAAGCTCCTTGGGAACAGATCAGAACATTATCCCCCCCCCCCCCCCCCCCCCGGTGTCTCTAGCTCCCAGGGCCTCTTCCATGGCCTTCTCCAGACAGGTGCGAATTCCACCCTCCCTCCCTGGCCCTGCATTTGGTCCAAAGTCCCAATCTGGATTTGACACAGATTTCAATGGGAACGGAATAGCTTCCAGATGTTCCCCTCAAGAGTTTTCCATTCCATGACTCTTCAGCAGAAACAAAGAGGAGCCCTCCATAGCCTGCCACGCTGCCTTGTAGCAGGTAGCACAGACTTAGCCTATTTGAGAAACCAGGTTATTATAAATTAGACCTCTCCACAATTCAGACTCAGATTCATTCTCAGAACAATACCTTTCAGTACTGAAAAGGCTAAAAATTCACTGCCTCGGTGACATTCTCTGCTAACAAGACATTCCTCCATCACACCCTCTATCCCTCACTCTTCCTTTCACCCCATGATAACCGTCAGAGAGAGCCTTACTGCTGCGATCTTCTGCCTTCATTAGATTGCTAATAGGCTCCATGCTTAGCTTATAGAAGCTAATGCTACTGCTTGGCTTAGTTTTGATTAATTATCATGCACAGCTCTTTATTCAGTTTTCAGTCAACAAACATTTATAGAAAGCTAGTCACTATGCTTGGTTCCTGGAACTCCAAGGTAAATAAGAAATGCTCCCTGTTGCTAAGAACCTCACAGTCTGGTGGGGGTGATAAAGAGTAAATAAAGGCTGTAGCATGTGATGGACACTGGAGTGGAGGTATAAACAAGATGTAGCAAGAGGAACAAGAAAGGAGTGCCACCTGCAAGCTGGGTCTAAAAGTCTACAAAATGAATTACAGTTTGGGGAGTCAATGTTGGGGAAGGGGAAGAAAAAGGGATCCAAATCCAAAAAAAAAAAAAATGCAAGAGTATTTTCAAAATCAAGAGGCATTGTAGCAGCCAACTCTGGAGGACATTAGTTCAGTATGGCTGGGGCATGGCGGCCAAAAGGGGATCCTGGGAGGTGAGGCTGGAAAGTGGGTAGGAGGCAGATTGCGAAGGGTCTTGGAAGTCACGTGGGGGAGTTTGGATGTGATGTGTGGCAGGCTTGTGGAAGCTTTGAAAAATTTTAAGCAGATGTATGTTCTAGAAAAAGAGCACTCTAGCTACATAGACAGGGATGGTTGAGAAAAGGGAGACCAGGTCAAAGGTAAAAACCAAAGGCCTGGACTGTGCAGTGGGGGTGTGAGTGGAGAGGAGAGGCCCTCTGGTAGTGTCGACATAGACACTGACATCTGCGTAATGCCAGCATATCTTGGCCTAGTACACAACCCCTGCCTTCTAGGAGAAAGGTTGATGAGTTGTGATTTCAGACCAAAGCACTCTTTACAGGAGCTTTACAGGAGACCTGAATTTGAATCTGAAGTCACTCTGAGCTGCTGCCTGCTGGTCAGAGATGTGTGACTCCTCCTCCCACAGTAGATTTGGGGGAGCATCAGGCAGATAAGGAAGAAGCCATTTCTAGTGTCTTGCTTTTCCCTTCTTTCACTTGAAATTGAAACATTTCTTAATAGCATCCCCTTAAAGTCAAGCAATACCCAATTTCCTATCAGTTTCCTATGCTGTCTTTTTCTAAGGAGTTCCAAGCCATTGAGCTGAATGGCAATGTATATACTGCCGGTCTTTAAACAGTTCAGTATGTCTCTTAGCTCTTTCTGAATTAGAGTTCACCATAAATGTGCTTTTCTCTTGTTCACTTTGGGCTGCCAGGACAATTTAAAGGAAATTTTCAACAGCTTATGTTTCATGGACCATGTTCTCTTTTGCAAATGGGAGGGTATGTGTGGGTGTGTTTAAGTCTTCTCTATATTGCTTTCTGAAGAAAGGTTTGAGAAGATGAACAAGATGAGGAGTAGGGACCTATTGAAAGCCCAGGTCCCCCCAGTGACCTGAATGCAGACTGTAGGCTGGTGATCAGATGGTCAATTATGTGTTTGTCAAAACATAGTGGGCTGCATTCCAGACTGCCAGCTTTGGAAGCCCAGCTTCTGCCAACCAAATGTCATCTGGGAACATGCAACACTGGGCACTGTGAAGGAGTTTGAAATAGACCATGCCACAGCCAACCTACTGCCAGTCTTATAGCACCAATATGGCATGCACAGCCGGGCCCCATGTTTCAGAGCTCAGGAATTCACTGTACTAAATTCAAGAGGTCAGATGGGTTCATGTTTTCAAAGCCCCTGTTCTCCGCTTTGAACATTGTGACTTGCTCCTCAGTGATTTCCAAGTGATTTTTCTAGTCATATCTCTGTGGAAACCACCCTTTTTATGATGGTTATGAGAGCCTTGTAGAAGTCCCAGAGGAAAGAAAAAAAATAAACTCGCTCTGACAATGACTGTGATTCCAACAGAGGGATTCCAACTCTTAGGAAATTACATTAAAGGTGCATAGCTTTTAAAATATCAGGAACCACCTTGGCAACTTATAAAAAGCAGAAGGGCTTTGCCTATTTTATAAAGTGATTTGCATATACCTGCATAAATAATGTCCCCACCTGTACTTTTATGCATTTAGGTTGAATAAATTAAATTCAGTGATCTTTAAAATATTCACTGTCTTTCATTGCTCAGATACCATTTTCAGGACCTTTCCTTCTAATTTATTTCCTGTGGTAGTAGTGGCTATTTTTTTCATCTTTCGACTAATTCAGAGAATCAAAACACTCTGCACACCAGCCTACCACACCTAAGAGCATTACCTCCCTCTGCTTGCATTTCTCTTAGCCTTTCTGCCTATCAGACCATGCATTCCATATGCCTTTCATAAAGGAAAATGGAGGAGTATATTACCAGGATGAAAACTCAGCACATAATAGGATTAAGCTTCACTACCTGTATATATCTAAACAGTGCTCATAACACAGTTCAGGGACATACTCATAGTAGCATTTTTTTTTCCTTTGGCCACTGCCACCACCCCTTCAGAAACCATCCAGCCACTAAACCATATTAATTGTAACTTGATCCTTCAAATCACAGCCTGG